ACATAGTACAAAGCCCCAACCCCCCTGATGGGGTCTGCTCTGTGTGTGACAGAGTACAAAGCCCAAACCCCCTTGATGGGCCCTGCTCTGTGCGTGATAGGGGGCAGCCCCCCAACCCCCTGATGGGCTCTGCTCTGTGCGTGACAGGGGGTGGCGCCGCAACCTCCCCATCGACCCTGCCTTGAGTGTGACAGGTGGCGGTGCCCCAACCCCCCAGTCAGCCCTACCCTGAGCGTGACTGAGGGTGGCATCGCAACCCCCCAATCTGCCCTGCTCTGTGCATCACAGGGGCGGCGCCCCAACTCCCCAATCAGCCCTGCTCTGAGCCCGAACAGGGGCTACACCCGGGAGCAGGCCTAAGCTAGCAGGTCGTTATCTCCCGAGGGGTCCCAGACTCCGAGAGGGCACAGGCCGGGCTGAGGGGCACCCCCTCCCCCCTGAGTGCACAAATTTTTGTGCACCAGGCCTCTAGTCTATATAATAAAAGCCTAAGTGACCATTACAGAGGAATGACTAGAACAACTGGTCACTATGATATGCACTAACCAACAGGGGCAGACACTCAACACAGGAGCTTCCCCCTCGTGGTCATTGTGCTCCCACAAGGGAGCACCGCTCAGGCAAAAGCCAGGCTCATGTCTGGCGAGCACAGCGGCAGTGGCAGGAGCCTCTCCCACCTCCTCAGCAGTGCTAAGGAACAGCGAGCCGAGCAGTAAGAAGCGAACAGGCAGATGGTAAGGAGCAAGAGGTCCTGGACTGTGAGAGAGATGTCTGTCTCCCAGCTTAGGCCTGATCCCATGGGGCCTAAGCTGGCAGTCAGACATGCCTGGAGGGGTCCCAGACTACAAGAGGGTACAGACCAGGCTGAGGAACCCCCCATCCCTGCAGGGCACAGATTTCATGCACCGGGACTCTAGTACACATGTAATTAGGCTAAGTAATTTGTTTTGAAGAAGATACTTTAATTGAGGAAAAAGGTCTTATTATAGGCAAAGCATTAATAACTTCTAACATATTAAGTCTCTGATAATGCTTTATTTGCCACAGTCCCTTTTAAAATACTAATTTACATACATTATCATCTTGAAGGCATCTTAAATCCTTTAACAAAGTGGACCTCATATAACAATTTTAGTAATATGTATAACATTTATTAATCACTGAACATGTGTTAAGTATTGTTCTATATATTTTACACAGATTATCTCATTTGATACCATAAATTAATGAAGTAGGTACAACATCAGGACTAGAACAGAGGCCTATTTGACTCATAGGCCACATGATGAACCATGATGCTATGTTCCTTCTGACAATGAGAATCCAAAATGATCACTTATCAATCCTGGGACAAAGTTTCATTTTTAATAAAAATCTTATTCTGGTGTAATTTATTTTATAACCTGAACCTAAAGAGCATTTTTAATGTACCTAATAGTGTGAAATATACATAGTCTTTTTAAATTTTTCATATGCTTGATATTAAAGCATTTGTCAACATGCAGTTATTGAATTTTTATTTAGAATTTGCCAATTACTCCAGTTTGACAAAGGACTAAATATCAAACATTTTGGGATAGTTTCTATAAGGTCTGGCTTACAAAGTAAATGGAACAGACAGAATCATGAGGCCAAGTATTAACTCACAAGTGAAAGAAAGAATAAAACATAACAAATTAATAAATACAATACAAAGGAAACATTTGAAAATTTATAATCTGCTCTTAAAGTACAAACTCATGATTTTGGGAAATATAATATTTTGACTACCTCATATTTGTCTTGAGTTAAATTCTTCAGTTTGTAAAATGTGAGTGTATGATATTCATGCATGTTTTACTTCAGGAAATATATAGGGTCGTTTATACTGAGCATCAAATAATTTTTCAGTAATTAAAATGATCAGTCCTAATAAAGTGATTAAGTTGACATGCTATGATGTATTACCCTGTTATACCAGGTTTTCAAAGACTTCTTTTTCTAAATATGTAAGTTAAGAGCTTTTAAGTTCTATGCAGAAATGAAATATACTAAAGATGACATATATTCTACATAGAATATATGCCATATATTCTATTGGCATATATTCTAGTCTTTATAAAAAGATTCATTAAATTGCTTGTGAAAATTGTTTTCTCAAATTTTGAAGCCTGATGTAATTATTCTAGTCTACATTTCTCAGATATTTATATCATTCAACTATATTAATTTTTAGCATCTCTCTGACATATAAATTTATGAAAATATAAAAGATTGCATTTCTTCTCCATTTTAATATCTCTATTAATAGATAGCATTTATTTACATAGATACATTTAAATTAAGTTCTAACTCAGAAAGCTTTCCATTATTGTGATTAATTCTATTATTTGTAGAACTCTTCCAAAATGCTTGATTAAATATCATCTCTGGTGTATTTAAGGGAAAAAAAGAAAAAGAAAAGGAGAAAAAATAATTTAAAAAATCAGTGAAGGAATTAAACACATTATTTAAATTGCACATTATTTTTCAACTATTATCCTTAGAGTTCTAAAAATTAGAACGTTTTTTAACAGGAAATTGTATTTAGTGAAAGTTTTTGATGTTTTCAAATTTTATAGAAATGTTTTCTATATTGTAGATATTGAAGCAGAAAGACATAATAAAAAGCAAAAACAAAGAAATGTCACCACACAGGTAAATATTTTGCTAAGTCACTATATTTTCTAATACAAAATTTGGGCAATAGGCACTATTAGTATTAATTTGGCCTGCTTAGAATTCGTACACAAGTAATTATTGACTATTGCTTCTGTTCTTATTTTTTTCATTATTAATCAGTATTTTATATTTATCCATTAAACAAATATTTACCCATTCTACTGTGAAAAGATAAGAAAAGCATTCTCATAAGCCCATGACCTGTCGGAGGGCCTAAATCTTAAAACAAAAACGACAGAGGCCAGTCTGGCTAATAGAGTCACAGATGCTTTTTAAACTTTATTAACTTCATAATGTTTTCTGGCATTTTGGAAGTAAGGAATTCAGCATTGTCAGTCTATTCTCAACTCAGCACCCACAATAATTCTGTAACTGTAAGTTATTGAAATCATTCCTGTACTTGAAACCTTTTAGTGGCTTCGCATCTCAGTCAAACCAGAGTCTTGCTTATTAGACTTGGTCTGCACCAGTTTTATCTCTAACATCCTTTTACTACTATCTCCCTTACTCATACCATTCTAGACATACTCTCTATGCTGTTCCTCAGAAACCTCAGGCATGCACTCACCTTTCTTTTTTTTCTTTTCCTTAGTATGTGATTTATTTATTTTTTATTTTATTTTATTTTTTAATTTTTTTTATTGCTTAAAGTATTACAAAGGGTTTTACATATGTGTCCATTTTTCCTCCCGCCCTTGACAGTCCCCTAGCCTTCCCTATCCCCCAGTGTCTTATGTCCATTGGTTATGCTTATATGCATGCATACAAGTCCTTTGGTTGATCTCTTACCCACCTCCCCCCTGCCCCCCAACCCTCCCTGGCCTTCCCGCTGCAGTTTGACAATCTGTTTGAGGCAGCTCTGCCTCTGTATCTATTATTGTTCAAAAGTTTATAATGGTCTCTATTATCCATGAATGAGTGAGATGGCATGCACTCACCTTTCTGTTCTTTTTGCTTGAAATGCCCTTGAATCCAGATATTATGTGTCTCCCTTCCCTCACCTCTTTAGGTCTTTGCTCAAATGTTATCTTTTTGGAGAGTCTGTCCCTTAACACACTGTAAATTTGCAATCACTCTTCTAAAATTGAAAACCTTATCATGACACCTTCTATTTCCCTTCCATTCTGTATTTTCTCTCTCAGAATTACCACTATGTACATACCATATTTTTAAAATATATTTTTATTGATTTCAGAGAAGAAGGGAGAGGGAGAGGGAGATAGAAACATCAATAAGAGAATCATTGATTGGCTGCCTCCTGCACATTCCCTACTGGGGATTGAGCCCACAACCTGGGCATGTGTCCTTGACTGGAACCAAACCCGGGACTCTTCAGTCCGCAGGCTGACACTTTATGCACTGAGCCAAACCAGCCAGGCCTGTACATATCATATTTTGTTATGTTTGTTGTCACTTTCCTACCATTAGAATATAAACACATAAGAGCAAGGGTTTTTATCAGTGTTGTTCACTGTGATTATCCTAGCAACTAGAGTAGTGCTAGCTAGGCACATAGGAGGCAGTCAACAGATGTTTATTCAATTAATGAATAAATATTAAATCAAGATTAAAGGACTAAACTTTGGAAAAAAAGGTTTATGTAAATCAAAAACTCCTTTCTACATTGCAACATTTTCTAAATCGCTCCAAATTTAGCTCATCTTCAGTTATCATAACCATGACATCCCATAATTAACGGTGGGATTATTATGTACAGAAATAAATTTGATCGTGGCATAAAGCTCAGTTTGTCCTAAGGCAGGTGGAGACTGAAGGGACATCAGCTTTATCAGGTCACCTTGCTTTCCCTTGTGGGCTCTTGATATCTTGTCATATGTAATGCCTGCCCAATAACACCTGAAAGATAAAATAGGTCTACTGATTTAATTAAATATGCTACTATCATTTACTCAAGATGTGGTTATAAGGTGGGTAGATTCTCCATCCCCTAGACTCTTCTTTTTTTATAATCACCCATCCTGGTATCATACTTCTCTAAGTGTTACCGTAGCTTTCATTTTAACTGAATCTTGTAAATCTAGTTGTCTCATGAAAACTTCCCCTGTAGCCCTCTCAAAGATTTTCTCCCACAACCAAATTATGTTGGTCCTTGTTGGGTGGTTATCCTTCTCCCATCTTATTGCCACATTCTCATTGGGAGAGTAATAGAAGATAAGTGCAGAAGTTACTTATGGTCTTTCTCCCCAACTATGTTTTGTTTCTCTCTGCTCTGGAAATTTCAGTATCCATGAATCCTAACCACTCATTTTCTTTTTATTTTAATTATTTTTATTGATTGGTTTTAGAGAGAGGGAGGTAGGGAGAGAGAGAAAGACATTGATTTATTGTTCCACTTATTTATGCATTCATTCGTTGATTTTCGTATGTACCCTGACTGGGGGTTGAACCCACCACCTTGGCATATTAGGACGATGGTCTAACCAACTGAGCTACCTGGGTAGGACCTAGCCCCTCATTTTCATTGTTTAAATATTTTTGCTCTGATAACTATACCCTCCTCTCTACTTCCATAACCTAAACTATGTCTTTTCTAAATTAAAACTTCAAGTTTCCAATCTCTGCTGACCACTTGGAGCTTTCTAGGATACTCCATCACTGGATCTTAAATCCATTTACTTCTTTTATTGCTCATCATTCCCCTCAGATATTCACTTGTCTTCTTACTTGGCTTAGAGTTGATGGTGCATTACTACAGGACCACAGTCCCTTGTCCAAAACCCCTTGGGAACAATTATGTTTCAAAATTCAGGTTTTCTTTTTAAAAAATACTGTGGTTAAAATATATATAACATAAAAGTTACCCCTCGTAACCATTTTTAAGTGTATAGTACATTAGTGTTAAGTACATGTACATGGTTGTACAATCAATCTCCAGAATTCTTTTCAACTTGCAAAACTGAAACTCTATCTGTAAAACAAAAACTCTCAAATTCTTGCCTCCTCCCAGCCCCTGGCAACCACCATTATAGTTTCTAGCTCTATGAATTTGATTACTCTAAGTACCTCATATACCAGTAAGTGGAATCATATAGTATACTAGAGACCCAATGCACAAAATCCTTGCAAGGGGCTCCAAGGGCCAAGGCAACAGTCCCGGCTGCCACTCCAGCCCTCGCAGCAGCAGCCCTGGCTGCCGCCCAGGCGCTCACAGCAGCAGCCCCAGAATGACATCCAGAAGGATGTTCAGTCTAATTATCATATTTTGCTTTTATTATTATAGATGTCTTTTTTGTGGCTGGCTTATTTCACTAGCATAATGTCCTCAAAGTTCATCCATACTATAGTATGTGTCAGAATTTTTCTCCTTTTAGAAGTCTGAATAGTTTTCTATTATATGTATATGTATACCACATTTTGTTTACCCATTCATCTGTTGATGGACACGGGTTTTTTACAAATTTTACAAATTTTGGCTATTGTGAATAATGCTGCTATGAACTTGGATGTACAAATAAATATATGTTTGATATTCTGCTTCCAATTCTTTTAGGTGTATACCTTAAATGGAATTGCTGGACCATATAGTAATTCTAATTTTAATTTATTGAGGAACCATGATATTGCTTTCCACAGCAACTCCAATTTCTTCATATCTGTGCTAACACTTATTTTCCATTTGCTTGATTTTTTTTATAGTAACCAAACTAATGGTATATCATTGTGGTTTTGATTTGCATTTTCCTAATAGTTGAGGATCTGTTTAAGTGCTTGTTGGTCATTTGTGTGTCTTCTTTAAGGAAATAGCTATTCAAATTCTTTGCCCATTTTTTAATAGGGTTGTTTGAGCTTTTTGTTGTTGTTTAGATGTAAGAATTCTTTATGTACTCTGGATATTAACCATTTATCATATACCAGTATATGATTTGTAAGTATTTATTTCCATTCCATCAATTGCTTTTTCACTCTGTCGATAGTGTCTTTTGTTGCACAGAGGTTTTTATTTTGATGTAATCCAATTTACTTAGTGTTTCTTTGGCCTGTGCTTTTGATGTCAAATGCAGTGTCATAAAGCTCTTCCCTAGGTTTTCTTCTAGGAGTTTTATGGTTTCAGGTCTTACAGTTAGGTCTTTAATCCATTTTGAATTAACTTTAATATATAATTTAAAGTAAAAGGCAAACTTCATTATTTTATAGGTAGATATCCAATTTTCCAAGCACAATTTGTTGTAAAGGCTGTTCTTTCCTCCATTGAATGGTCTTGACATTCTTATTGAAGATCTTTTGACCGTATTTCAGAGGGTTTATTTCTTAACTCTCTATGATACTCCATGTCTGTCTTTATGCCACTGCTGTACTATTTTGATTACTGTAGCTTTGTAAAAAGTTTTGATATCAGCAAGTGTGAGACATACAACTTATTTCTCAAGATTGTTTTGGCTATTCAGGGTCCCTTCAAACTCCATATAAATTTTAGGTTCAATGTTTCTACTTCTGAAAAAAAAATAATGCCATTGGAATTTTGATAGGGACTGCATTAAATCTGTAATCAGTTTGAGTACTATTGACATTTTAGCAATATTAAATCTTCTACTTCGTGAGCACTTGATGCCTATTTATTTTTGTCTTCTTTAATTTCTTTCAGCAATGTTATATAGTTTTTAATATGGAGATACCTTTCACTTCCTTGGCTAAATTTATTTCTACATACTTTATTCTTTTTGATGCTATTGTAAATGGAATTGTTTTCCTCATTTCTTTTTATGATTGTTCATTGGTAGTGTGTAGAAGTGCAACTGATTTTTATGTGTTGATTTTATATCTTGTAACTTTGCTAAATTTATTTATTCTAACAGCTTTTTGTGAAATCTTTAAGATTTTCTGCATGTAAGATCATGTCATCATCTGCCTGACTGGCATGGCTCAGTGGTTGAGCATCGATCTATGAACCAGGAGGTCACGGTTCAACTCCCAGTCAGGGCATATGCTCAGGTTGCGGGCTCAATTCCCATTGTGAG